TAAAACTCATTACTGTATGTCACAGAAATACAGTTATTGTAACTAAATTAGTGCCTTACCTCAAGAAAGGACGTTATGAAGCAATGACGTATTTCATTAAAAAACACCAACTCTCATGATGTACGAAATGCCATTTCAGACCCCCGGCCCCGGACTTTTACAAAGGTGTCATCCACATTGCCAATCTCACTCTTAACTTCTCTGCAAAGTTGAGAGGTCTGAAAAGAATCAGACAACTGTAACCAAGAAGCAGAGAGGCGGCGATTGTGATCAACTGGAAGACGTCGCTAGAGTTCAAAATCCAGTAAAAATACGCGTTGTTTTCTCAGCAAACGAATTTGTAATAATCAGTAATCGAGATCAAGAAACCCAAACTATTAAACCCGAAACTGCTGAGGAAATTTTAGAATAATCAGATGCATCTTCGGTGACGGTATTAAAGTTTATTTCTACACCCTGTACTTTATACTCAATTGTTTGTGTATTTATACATATAGTTTTTGTGTTCTACAAAATTGTAATTACATTGTTTACTCTGTTTGCTTCAATAATACACATTTGTTCAACAAAAAGCCTAAGAATATAATATTATTTTTAGACTCCTTCGATAATGACGGATAATGTAACCGCTTCGGCCTTCAATGTAAACAATGACGTCACCGGTGGATTTTTCCACCGGTGATATTTGGCGCGCTGCAAGTGACAAAAGTCCTTTCCACAGACGAAGTGAAGTGCGCCATAGAAGGGCCTGGAAAGGACTTTGGAAAGTCTACAAAGTTTACTGTGAACATTGAACCGCCTTGGTGAGGTACCTCCATACCCACATAGCCGCTTACTTCTTTCAATTTAAAGGCCTCCTACTCCAAATTTTATTTGAAAACCTGAGTCGGGCAATGAGAAAAAAAGGCTGCATTCCAGTTACGCGTTTTTCATACGTGCGTACACGCACGTAAAAGTTGAATTCGCTGTACATCCTACTTATGAAATAACTAAATTTATAAAAGGATAGCATTCAGTTTTGTGTATGATTTAATGTGTATTTGTTAAGGTTATTTGCACTTATATGAAATTTTAAGCGAATTCAACTTTTACGTGCGTGAACGCATGTATGAAAAACGCGTAACTGGAATGCAGCCTTAACTGGTACTAATACCGCCTGTTACGTAGCCAGTTTTTAAACCAAAACACATCAAATCGGCTCAATTCAGCTCAATCAGTTGTGTCTGTGATTTATATATTTTGTCTGTGATTTATATATTTTGTTGCTATCTTGGCTGTAGTAACACTGTTGTTTGTGAATGCTAATAATAATTGGAATTTAACAGATGCTTAGTTTATTTTGTATGTATGAAATAATATAGTGACATTCTTTTCCAAAATAATTTCTGTATGCACCAATCATGTTAAGCATGTACCTAGATGGGAGGACAGGCTACCCATGGCTTTGTAATAGACTAATCAAGTAATAAGTAATGCCTGCCCAAGGCACAACATTTTTGACAACAATTTTTCCCATTTGTAGACTGGGCAAGTTATGATGAAGAAGTAAATGATGATTGGCAAATTTGATAAAAAAACCAAATATTTTTCAGTGTTCAGTATTTAAGTAGTGATTTTGGGTGAAGACCTTCAAAACATCCTGGAGTTTCCAAAAATAATGTTTTTCATTGGCTCCCCTGGAAATATTTTCCAAGAGATTTTTGAACCAGCTCCCTGGAAATGCATAATACAGTTTTTAAGCCAAATATTTGGGTGACAACATTCCTTTGAAATGGATTTTTATGTCCCTCTTCAAGAAGTTCCAAGGTCTTCACCCCTGGGTGTATTGATTAAAAATGCTAGCAAGATTATTGGTCAACCTTTTATTTTTGTACTCAAAATTTTCCCCATGTGCATATAGGCATACCAGATAGATAACTTCAGCCTGTACATGCATGGGTTGAGGGTGAATTAATGGTTGAATAAACGCTGGATATTTTCACTGACACTGTTAAAATCTTGATCCATATGCACCATAGAAGGAACTAATGTGTGAGTGTGACAATTTCACTTCCCCTGGAGGTAGAAGTGAGGCTATATAGGCCAGAGTGTGAGAGGTGAATCTATAGATTCAGGTTTTTGTTTCCTGTAATGTAGGTAATAATAAGCCATTGAATTCTACATTAGCTGCATGTGAAGGCCCTCCTGAAGAATTTTTCCAGCCCCCCAATTGTTTACCTCCAGTTTTTTCAGCATAGATTATCCTACATGTATCAGTGTTAAGCCCCGGAGTGTCAGACAAATAATGGTAAAATATGAACATTTGATAAATGTGGATATATTGAAGGATATATTGTGGATTTACATAAATTGTTTGAATGTTATATTTTTCTTCGATTTCTACAATTCAATGTTATCTGCTGTTATAAATCATATTCTATTTTTGCCTCCTCTGCAGGCACTCTGTATTGTTTTGTATAACAGGTTTTCAACTCTTATTTGTTTTGTATTGTAAATGCATTTTGTAAATGATCAAACTTTGGTCGAGCTTCAAGCAAAATAGTGTTAGGCCTGGGGAGAGCAAAACATGGGAGGAAAAAATCCCAAATATAAAACCTATTATACAAAACAATACAGAGTTGCCTGTGGAAGAGGCTAATTCTACTTAAATATTAACCCAGAACTCTCCCCTTGACAAGTAAAATCATCTGGCATTAGACAGAAAATAATAAAGTAGGGTGCAATGTGACTCAATGGGTTAACTAGACACATCATGGGCAGATAGACGAGTTAACCCACTAAATGCCAGCACTCTCCCCTTGACGAGTAAAATTGTATAGCATTAGACAGAGTAAAATAATCTTGCGTTAGACAGAGTAAAATAATAAAGAATGTTAGGGTTTGTAATCCAAGTGATTATATACATTTTAAGACCTGACCAGGAACGACTGCGAAAAATGCAGCACAAGGTTCTCTGGTAGGAATTGAACCTACGGCCCTGCGATTCCGGTGCAGCGCTCTAACCAACTGAGCTACAGAGGCCAGCTGTTGAGCTGTAACCGTAAGTTCATGTAAATATAGGTAATCAGGTGTGCGGGTTGTGATAAGGTGAACTTGGATGATGTGGTTTCTTTGCACTTCACTTGGTGGAATTAATATTAGAATGTTAGGGTTTGTATAATCCAAGTGATTATATACATTTTAAGACCTGACCAGAAACGACTGCGAAAAATGCAGCACAAGGTCCTCTGGTAGGAATTGAACCTACGGCCCTGCGATTAAAATAATAAAATAAGGCGCATCAGTGCACAATGCGACTCAATGGGTTAGAGATGAACAGACGGTTAAGTCTGTTATGCACATATGTACCTTCTGATGTAAACAATTGGTAACATCAAGGTGTTATACATAGGGTTATACATGGTGGTCAACATTACATGTATCAACACTAATGACTTCGGGAGCGAGCAAATGAGGCTAAATTGCATGTATTCACCAGCAAACATGAGGTCAAGACATATAGTGAACAATTTACTCACACCGGTAACTGTGCTTCCTTTTAGAATTGACCACCATGTGCCGAGATGTTGCATCACAAAACATGAAAGTAAAGAATACCCAACTTTCACATTGTTTCAGCATCTCATTCACAAACTCTAATCAAAATTCATTTAAAGAACAGCAACCTGAACGATGTTAAATATGAACTATGTACATCATATTTTTTTTAATATAGCGTGTTTGAAATGTAAAAAACCAACATCCCCCACATTTTATGCTTTTTATCACTATTATAAACAGGGTGCCATATACTGCTACAATCTCGTTCGCCGAGCCTGCGATCCTCGGGAAGGAACGCGAAGCTCTGGGATAATCCGTTGCCGGAAGCCAGGAATTCTGGCTAAGATTGAACTACACATCCATTTCAACGACCAATCAGATTCCTCCCGGAAACGGATTATCCCAGAGCCTCACCTTCCTTCCTGAGGATCGCAGGCTCGGGGAACGAGATTGATGCTGCTATAGTTTCAAATAGTGAAATCTTGACTGATTTCTGCCGAAGTATTTCACAAAATATTAAATACAACGATATCCAGCTGCACATAAGTTATTATACCATTTACATTTCTTTTAAATCCTTTAGACATGGCTCACGGTAATTTCGGAATTTCAATTTTCCACTCTTACGATGAATAACAGTACCACATAAATCGGTAGATAATTTTCAAAGGTTTCTCATACCAACACATCTTTCAAGGACTAATTATATAAACATGTTAATAACAACTTTAGTAAAGGAAAACTGTTATGAGCAAAATAACAAGTGTTTCTCGTACCGATTATTTTCACGAACACTTGGGCGCCATCTTGAAATTTGAGTTCGGGGGGGTGAATGCCTCTCTTTCGCGCACTGGCTAAGCTTTTGGCGGCCGGTTACACTTTTTTGGCTGAGTTCCACCTCTGTGTAGTATATCCTCTGTGGTAGAGACATACAGAGACGTAACTAGTGTACCCACTTTTTTTGTGCGCACGCTCGGCAAGTTACTAGATGCATGCATCTGATTGGATGACGACCTGATGACGACTCACTTTAAACTTGCTGAGCACGCGCAGTTGATCATTTTTGCCGGGGTG